ACTCCTGCAAAACACAGGGCTGCTGTAGCTTGTGTAAATGTAAGTTTGCACTGCATGAGCTCAGTCTCTTACAAACTGGTGCCCCTCTTGCATTTATAGTAAGGAAAAGCACGAATCAGGTGGATTGTTTTGCTCAGAGCTGTGACCTGAGGCAGTGACAGAATTCATAATTCCTGTCTCACCCAGCTCCTCTGACCATCATCCATGTTGTGATTAAGGCAGTTCCCTTTGCAAAGCCAGAGATGGGTGTATAGCTCATGATCATTTCAGGTTTTGTCAGAAGTTTGTTCAAGATGGAGAGAAATGAGACTTGGTGCAGAGGGCCGTGAATTCCAAGGCAGAGAAGGGATTTGGATTATTTCAGCTTTTTGCTCTCAGTCACGTTCCTGGCTGGAGAACTGGCTGGTTGCATGTACATCCCAATGACCCGGTCACCCTGAAGGGTGGTTCACAATAAAGTTTGCTGGCATGGGACACAGAAGACTCGTGTCCCTTTTCTTTCCTTCACAATGTCCTGTGAACATTGGACAATCACTCTGCTTTGCTTCTTCATCTGCAAGAAGGAAAATAATCGTATTTCCCACCTTAAGGGAAGGTTGTGGAGACAACTACCAAATATCACAGTAGTGGAAGTGCTCAGAGATCACTGGAATGGAAACCATGTGGAAGCCTAACAAGACCTGGTTTCTGACCCTGTAGCTGGTGCTGTGCATGTTTGACTTTTCTTTTTGGTGCAGTAAAAATAATAATTTGCACACCTATTTCCCATATGGGAAATTAAGATGTGTTTCTATGGGTTTTGAGGGTACAAAGGAAATATGTGCTGAAGTGTGCAAGTGTGAAATTAAAGGATAGATCAGAACAGGCAATTCTAATTGAAAAAGGAGTGGGATCAAGGATTTGATCCCATTTAATTGTCTTTTCCTCACGAAGCTCTGATATTTTTTAAGCAGCTGTTCACTGAAACTTTCTGCTCTATGAAATTCCTTTATAAGGAATCAGCAGGTCATTAAAATAGTTGGGGAAATAAGTAGAAAAATATGTGGGTTTATGTTTTATCTTCATCCTGTCTGATGGAATTTAACGTGGCTCCACCTGGGGTGGTGTTGATGGTGCTAAAACAAACCCAGTGGGAAGATTGTAGTCACAGTCATTGCTGGTGTTACCTCATGGCAGTCATTCCTGTGCCTCACCAGACCTACCAATACATTTAAAAACACACACCTTCAGGATTTTTCTGGGATCTGTACAAACTCTGTGAACATTGTAATGGGTGGAGATTGGCAGAATTTTGTGGAGAGGGACTTGTGGAAGCTCTGGCGAGCCCTGGAAATAGGAAACATAAAACTCCCTTTGCTTTGACAGCTCCTGTGTGTCACCCCAACACAGGCTGCCCCTGCCAGCCTGATCAGTGCCTTGTGTTCCTGACTGCTTGGGCTGGTTCTCTGCAAGGAGTCCTCAAACGTTATTCTTAATTTTCTCTAATAATATGTGTCTTGATGTTGGCGATGCCAAGACGATAGAGGAAGTAGGATAAGGAAGAAGAGAAGGTATGTTGATATTTTTGCCTTTAAGTTCTCAAAATAAATTAAGGAGAAATATTTATCTTTATAGTATTTCAAATCCACTGTATTGCTTCATCTGTGAAAGTCTGCTCTCTCTGTAGTGTCCTATTTAGCTCCAGTAAGTCACGAGCATATTGAGGGCAAATAGTTGGTATAAATCTGACAGAAAGCTAATGAGCTCTCCTGTGATTATCAGTAAGGACTATGACTCATTAAATCTCATTTCCTGAGAAAGTCCACATAAGAAGAAGAAATTATCTGGAATAAAGGTCTAAAAACCTAATTCAATCAGATTTATAGGTGTTCTTGCTGTTGCTACAAAACAATCAGTGAAAACAGAGAGGCCTTTTACTGAGATCTGAAATGGTTAACGTTCAGAGAGAGGGGTGTTTCCCTTCCATTTAAGATGCAGACACAATAGCTGCCCTTCTCCCAAACTGAACAGGTTCATGCACAGTTGGGAGGTTTTTCACTTTTCATTTTAGGTGTGATTACAACTGATAATAAATAGATGCTCATGTGCAATATGACTTCCATTCAAAACTATGCCTAAAAGTGAACCTGGCTTGTCCAGGTTTGGGTAGGCTGTGGTTGCCTCAGTACAGTGTTTTCTTCTTGGGCTGCATCTCTTTTTGTGGTACATTTTTCATACGTTCCTTAGAGAGGAAATGCCTCTTCCCTGTTGCAGTGAAGAAGAGAGATTTCCATGGATTTTAATGAGCTTTGGCTCCCCCTCTGACAGAGTAGCATTGCAAGAAGGTTTTGTTTTGACTGTTCTGTCTTTGTGTGGAGATGTGTGGACACAGTCTTGTGTTGCACACTAATAACACACGGATGGTGACACAGAGAGGGTTCCTGTGGTCTCCTGGTGCAGCAGGTAGAGACCCCTCACTGCTGGCAGGTGGGGAGGAACGTGGGGCAGCTGCTCACACGTGTACTTCAGTGTGCTCTGAAGAACATGGGGCAGCTGCTCACACTGGTACTTCAGGGTGCTCTGAACACTTCAGCAGCTGAGCTGACTGCCTCCAGAGCTGGGCTCTCCCTGCTGTGGGGAAGGAGCTCACAGTGGCTGCTGCAAGCTCTGGTTCTGAGCAGTTTAAACCCTGGATGTCCCCCGGGATTGGGCCAAGTTGGACCCTTGGAAGGTCTTTTGTTATTGTGTTCAGTAATTCCAGCTTCTCCCAGCATCTCCTCTGCACTCTCTTTGTGAGGAACTTCCTCCACTGTTCCTTCCTAACAAGGCAGTATTGTTGCCACTGAAGTTAATGAGGACCTATGTGGACATTGCAGCATGGGAGGAACAGAGTAAATGTATTTTTTAATTATTTTTTTTTTATTTTTCCCCTATTCTTGCTGCATGCAAATAGCATGGGATACAGGACTGCTCACACACAACTTGGCTGTTGCTCTTGGTTCTGTGCAAACCAAGTTCAGCTTGAACTGTCTCTGCCATGAAATGTAATGCAGCAGTTTGAGTCTCTTATAATCTGTGATTTTTTTGTGGTTGGGCTCTTTGTAGGGTTTTGGGTTTGTTTAGATTGGGATGTGTTTTTTCCTTGTGGATTTTGTGTATATATCTGGGGGGGGATGTGGCACTACAATTTCTTTTTTTGGGGGAGGGGTTTTTTCTTTTTTTTTTTTTTTTAATTAAGTATCCCTAAATCTGCTAGATCAGTAAGAAAGCATTAATTTGGAGAAAAGTTTTGTGGGATAGGGTCTTTGAAAAATGTAGAACTTCATTGAATACAAAAGCATATTAAATACTTCCATATTCACCAAGACCTTGCAGACGTGCTTTCAGTCAGGAAAGGAATATTTCAAAGGATCAGCTTTTGAATGAAGATGATGTGGAATCAAGGAAGGGAGGGACTTCAAAACTGAACAGTTCTCAGAGTCAAGATCATTTGGGAAAGCAGCCCATTTCAGCTATATAAATTGCACTAGGACATACTGTGTGCCCTATGTGAGAAGGAATCAGAATTTCCCAAAACTGAAATAGCATATATTAGCTTGCTGTGATCCTGTGGTGTGATGACACAGGTGACCCTGCTGGAACTCAGAACAGGGAAATGAAAGTAATATGATTATTCAAACAACAAACAGAACTGTGTGGTTTGGTTTGATCTCAGAAGCTTGGACCAGAAACGAGCCCAAGTTCAACATCTGGGCAGTGAGAGCAGATGCCTTTCTGGACACCAGAGCCTGGACAAAGGGGCTCCTGTTTGTGCCCTGCCTGCCAGGCTGTGCACACAAGGCAGGGAGAGCTGCTGGGGAGCTGGGTCAGGCCCTTCCTCTGCCAGTTGTTCCACAGACCTCAGGAAAAATGAGGTTTTGTTGCAGTTTTTGTTCACCTCCACCATCGCTGCTGCTGCTTCCACCTGGCACATCACGTGTCACCTGTGGGGTGTGTTATTCAGGAATTAAACAAAAACCTCAGAAAAATATGCTGCTGTTTCTGACTTGAAAAGACATTTATTAATGTGGAGATGTAAGGTGGGAGTCAGAGAGGGGCCGCTGTTTATGTGCTGTGAGTCACGCCTCTCTACTTGGGAAATGAAAATTATTTAGAGGTTCTGTGTGTTTGTCAATGGAATGTGCTCCAGGAGTGTTTTATAATGACAAAAGAAATCCTGTGCTACATGCAATACAAAGATGAGAAAAATTATGAATTCTTACTCTACTGGGAAGCACAGCCAAAGAAATGAAGGAGTTAGAGAAGTGTAAATGTTCCTCTGGTAATATAACCTGAAATGATGCTTCTCTACGTTAGTCAAAAAATGCCATTTTTAACTCTGTGGTGGGAAACACTTCAGAACACCATCAGCAAGTGTTTCCTTATCTGGCACATGTGAAAATCTGCAGGTTTATCTGATATTTTAAGTTAAAAATTACTAAAGAATGGAAAAGTTAGAAGACTGTCTTGGGGTTTTTGCTGGTTTGGTGGTGGGGCTGTTGGTTTTTAGATTGGAAATTGAAGCTTAATATCTGAAAGACTAAAATTATAAAGCAATACAAAGAAATAATGGTTAGTCATTCAGGAGGGCCTTCAGTGTTAACATGCTGCAGCCTGAAGGAGGCTCTTTAAAACTCTGGTATCTTAGCTATCTTGACCATGGATTAAAGGCCTCTTCCCTAAACTGACCTTCGGTTTAATTTGGGAGAGCAAATGTGGTGACATTCATTGTATTAATTTGTCACATTGCCCCAGGTTCTGTGGCAAGAAGTTAAAAACAAAAAAGGAACAGCAATTGCTCTGGTCCTGCTTCCCTCATCTGAAATCAGTTCCAAAGCCATTCTGACATCAGTGCTCTGTATCCTGTGAAGAGGAAGCTGCAGTTGTGGCACTGATCTCACAGGTGCAAAGTGGGAGCTGAGTGATCTTCACATGGTGTTAAAGTACATTCTGCAACTAAAGCAGCATTCTGGACTGGGAGCACAGCTTTGCATGAGTGCATTACCAGGGGTATTCCAGCTGAGCTCCCTCTGGGCAGGAGCAGGTACACGTTGGGCTGAGTGAAGGATTCCACTCAGCTGTTCTCACTGTTTCAATTCAATTACTCTAAAAATTTGTTGGTGCCAAACAGGTAAAAATTCCTCAAGCCTAAATGTAGCTTTATTGTGTTGAAAGGGAAATGTTGGCATTAATATAAGGCAATGAACTGACTTTTCAGGCTAGTTCATGGAAAATTCTCTCTGGGTTCATCTGAGCTGATGAGGTGTTTACAGAGGGAAAGAGAAGCTCTGGCTCTGTCTCGTAAGGGTGAGGAACATGGGGACAGAGTCAGAGCCAGCAGTCAGGCACAGGAGGAGACTAGAGAAGGTGTCAGAAAGGGATCAGCCAGGGGAACTGTGGAGGTGGGTGGAAAAGTATAGAGAATAAATAATTGAAGTTTAAATTTGGAGATTTCATGTAAGTGTAGTTCACTGGAAAACTGGGAAAGCCCCTCTTTATTTCTGTGAGTGTGTCTTTGGGCAGAGATAGGACACTGGTGTAGGACATGCACCTGGGAGCATGGCATGGAGTGCTGTTAAAAGGAGTAAACATAAATTCCATGGGTTTTCCTAAAAGCTTATCCATAATTTAGCCTCACCTCTTTTGGGCTGTGTAGGGGGTCTAGATTTCTCTGTTCTACTGATGTCTAGCAACAATATAAAGATGTTGCTGCTACTTGGGGGAAATGTGTAATATCAGATTAGAGAGCAAAAGGCTCCTGTGATAACCCTCTGAAGGCTCTGTTTTGGAAGAACACTGAGTTGGGAGAGATATTCATGTCTAGATAAATTGATCAGTTGTATGGCATGGGTAACTCCATTTAATGCACACATCAAACTGAAACCAGGCCCCTTAAGGCTGATTCACTGCCTTGACATTTCTTCAGCACCAGGTGATGTGTTTGGATGTGCTTTGTCCTGAGACACCCTATTTCTGTGTAAAATGTAGAATTTCAAGAGAAGTCTGGGACAGGGTGGACTACAAGAGAACAACCCAAAGGTGCCAGAGGCACAGACCAGTGTCAGCCATGTGGAAGCATAATATTGGTGAAAGGCTGAAGAACATGTGATGAAGGGGAAGGGGCTTTGATATGTTAATAATATTCAAGCATGATCAATTTATACACTACCTACAATTTACATAGATAAGCCTGGAATCCCTCAGATTACCCTCTCAAAAGCACACGCTGTGTATTTGTTCCACCTGATCCTCACTGGTGGTTCAGACTCTTCAGAAGGGGTAAATCAGGAGCAAACTAACCACACCAGGTGACTCAACTGCCGCCTCAAAACTATTCCTGAGCTAAATGTGGGACATCCTGCACATCCACCAATCTGCCTGTCAGCTCTTCCACCTCCACCTCTCACTGTGCAAGGGACTGGCTTTTTGGCAAAGTGCTAATAAAATTACCAAGGTCCAATTTTTCAAATCAAAAGCTGGATCTCTGCTTTGGGGCTCCATTTTCTTCCTAAGAGTCTAATGAGGAGGGACAGGCAATTATTATTATTTATTTCACTAATTAGCTGGATAATCATTCATTGTAAAACTCTTCTGTGCTAGAAATATGTTCCTTGTACACTTTGTTTAACAGTTTCCTTTTTATCAGACTGAACCACTGTATGACATCTATTATTAGTGGGGCAACGGGGGGCACTTGGAAAAAAAAGGGGGAAAGAAAAAAGGATAATTTTTGGTCTGCGAAGATAATGCAACAAGAAGCAACAGTCCATAAAAACATCTCCTTTCAGTCTCTGAAGACATAATGCTTTATGATAACCATAAAACATTTTAGTGCAAAATAAATTGCTGTCCTATTCAAATCTTAAATGTACTACAGTGGATGTCACTGAAGACATACAGCTATTTTTTCCAATCCTGAGATATATTTTATCATAATTTGTAGTGTAGGTGACAACCTTGCACACATGATTGCCTTTTTTTGCTTAGTTAGCTTGCCAAGGTCAGAGTCCTTTGGCCTTTTATGGATGTAGAACTATTAGGGAATAAACCGGATAACCAAGTAGCGGAAAACAAAACTTGTTTCCTCGACTAGTTAGTCAGATACCCTTTGAAGAGTTCCTGGTGTTCTGAGTATGTACTTACTGAGAATTACCTCTTTTTAAATGCTATAACAAATTCTTCTCACTCATAAAACACACAGGTGATTTTTCTCATTTTCTTTTCTTTCTGTCTTTCTTTTAAATTAATTTTCATTTAGTTATGCTTTTTTTCTTTTCTAGCTAATTAATGGCATGTTGGCTTCGAAGCTGCTGTGAGGAGAACCAGGAGTTGCCACTGAGCCAGGCAAGCCCCTCCATTTCCCCACAACTGAATTCCTCAGATGTCATTTCACGTTGTGCCACTGGTGAGGTTCTCGGAATGTGCATCCTCAAGGAGTCTCTGGAATTTCCTGTCCACTTTTTGCATCAAAGCAGCCGAGAAGAGGGTTTATTCTAAAGTATTTTTGTGTTACTTCTGCTGATGATTGTGCATAAGTAGGAAAATGCTAATAGTGGTGACCAATTTAGCAGCATCATTTAGGAGATACGCCTCCACCCCATAAAAGTATCTGCCTTGGCTGATTTGTTTGATTTTGATATAAAATGTGATAGGCCATTGAATGGAATGAAAAAAAAATATTGATAAAGTCTATATGGAACCACAGAAATGTGTAAGACACGGTTGGTGACACTGATGTAAGATCTATACAAGTGTGAAGGAAAATAAGAGTATAATGCATTTTATATGTTTGCCTTTAAAATGCACTGAAAGTTTTGAAACAGAAAATTGGTCACAATAAAATTTTACCATCTGTCTTGAGTCGCTGGGATGAAATTGTGCCTCAAAGGAAACCACCGGGGTCTTTAATGTAACTGAAAATTCAGCTACGAGGGTTCATTTGTGTGTTGACTGCTGGTGATGCTGTATTTAAAAACTACGGTTTTTCCACTCTGGTGTGGAGGACCCTTTATTCCATGGCTGGTGAACAAAAGTTGTTAGCATTCAACATTTTGCTAACACCTTGAAGGGATGGGTGTAAAATTGCCTGGCAGTTTGCCCCAGATAACTCTTTTCCCACACAAAGGATCCAACGTGAAAAGTTCAGGAATCCACACAGACCTGATGGTTTGGAAGGAGGACATTTGGGGTTGTAGACCTGTGCATTTGTGTGAGCCAGTTCCTGTGAAACCCCTGGCAGGGCAAGAATTTCCATTCTTCCTTTAACTGCTGCTTCCAATGAGTCCTATTCACTTCAAAATGGCCTATAAAAGGTTTAAAATGATTTCTGTGTTCCCAATATGGGAAAGGTGGGACATTTTAAACAGGAGGTGTCAGGCTAACCCCTAAGAGAGGGTTGTGAGCAACCTTTTGGATTCTGAACCATATATTACAGCATCTATAACATGTATATCCCTTATTAAACCATTTAGAAATGCGCAATTAATATAACATGACTTTCTTGATGTGTACATAATGTGATTGGCAACCCACACCATGTTATCCCGGGAGATGGGGATATTGGAGTTTTATTCTCTCTTTTTAAACATTTTTCCAGTTGTTGTTCATTGCTTGTTGGCAGTTTATTTTAGATTTTACAAATAATAAAAGCAGCAGCAGTAGCTTTTGGATTCAACAGACACATATATTTTAATCTAAATGACAATATTTAGGAACAAAATTGCTTCATTTTAACTTCACTGCGTTTCTTAATCTGTGGAAACTATAATTTAAAAATAATGAATGCAACAGGGTGAATATATAGCTTCCATTAATTCCAAATACTGCTTATTTCCAGCACTTTTTAATTATTTGAATATACTTCTCCATATATTTAATTGGAGTGGAAAAATCATTCAAACCTCAGACCATTTACAATTACCAGTGTATCTGTAACTCTCCATCCAAATTACTGAACTTCAGAGTAACATTTCATTTTGAATACCTATTTTTCCTGTGTTTTGGGAAGTGCTGCAATAGTTGAAAAAAAGTTGTGAAAGATGCAGGTTTCATAAACAATGAACATCATAGGACGTGAATTAATAAATTGCAAGTTCTGCCTAGAAATTGTGTTAAAGGGCTGACTTAAACCCAAGGATGTTAAGTTTGATAACTGAGGATCTGTGCTGCATCTCGCACTCTTTTATCTTAAATATATTCTTTCTCAGACAAGCAGGGATCCACAGATAGGTGTATTTGTTGCTTTTTTTTTTTTTTAATGTATTCTTGTGCACTTGTTTGTGTTCAAATAGACCTGGGCCATCACAAAGAATTAGTTCAGACATTACAATGTGTTGGGTAATAAGCATTTGGGCAAATAAATCCTACTTCCCTTGCTGCTTAAAAAGAGAAAACAAAACCAAAATATCCACTTGGTTGCTGTGGATCCTGGTCAGCTCCTGGGTTTCCCAGCAGGAATACAGGCTGTTCTCAGGCTGCCATCCTCCAGGAGAAATCAAAACACCCAGTAAAGAACTCTTGTGGCATCTATTGCTTTTTCAGGAGAGCAGAATTAAAGAACTTCTGCAGCATCTCAGGGCAGGCTGGCGCTGTGTGGCCCTTGGGGTGGGGTCTGTGCCTCAGCTCATGTTTTGCCTGCCGCGCTTGCAGGGCTGGGAGAGGGCAACCCTTGGGGCACAGTCTGCTTGCTGGAGAGGCTGTGGTGGTTGTTCTTGCTGCTGGGCCATCTGAGCAAGCTCTGTCAGTGTGGGAAGGGTGATGAGAGCCGGGAAAACACAAATTACCCTGTGAGGTTGTTTCAAGAGCTACCCCCTCTAACTGACAGGGCTTCACTGCTGAATTCCTTCACTGACTCCAAGGTCAGTTTTTCCACTGTTCTTCAAGGTCCTGTGCACTCTGCCTTCATTTGCATTGGCATGTGAACCCTGAGTTTTCTTTGTGCCTCTTAGGCTGACACACCAGATCTTCTTATCTTTTTGTGCTGGCTTCTCTGTACCTGTGATAGTTTGGGGCTCTTTTCCTCCTATGTGCCAGATCATTAGTTCCCCTCCACTGGAGTCCTTCTGATACAGAAATCCTGTTTTGCAAGGGCACTCAGAGCTAATATCTCACAGGAACTCCACTCCAAGAGAAACAAGTGTTTGTGATTAAGCCTCTTATTTCTCTGTTAGTTGGTATTTTATTCCATAACTCTGTCTTCCTGTGGTTGCAAATCCATGATTCGACTCTAAACAAGTGTCAGCTGTTGCTGACAGAGGTCAGTGAGGGGCTGAGTGATGACAGTGAATCAAGTACTAAACTTTTTGCTCAGTTTCCATTCCAGGTACTATGAAACATTTTTCTGATTTGGAGTTTAAACAGGGAAATAATCCACGAAGAAGCTGACATGTGTACATAAAGAAACACTTCACAGTGGGGACTGGCTCAGGCAGAGGATGTATGACCAAAATGACCTTCCATAGAGAGAATAAAAAAATAATTATTTATCTCTAGTGGGCCAGAGCTTTTCCTTTTGTGTTCCACATGCTCTTCTACAGGCAGCTGGTATGTAGGATACATGGTGTGGTTCTCTTTCCTGAGAGCTGTCAAGACTTCTAAGATGATAAGAAGTTTGCAGTAGTTCAAATCAATCACAGTCATAGAATCACAGAGTGGTTTGGGTTGGAAGGGACCTTAAAGATCATCCAGTGCCACCCCTGCCATGGGCAGGGACACCTTCCACTAGCCCAGGTTGTTCCAAGCCCCGTCCAACCTGGCCTTGGACACTTCCAGGGATCCAGGAGCAGCCACAACTTCTCTGGGCAACCTGTGCCAGGGCCTCCCCACCCTCACAGGGGAGAATTCCTTCCTAATATCCCATCTATCCCTGCCCTCTTGCAGTGTGAAGCCATTCCCCCTTGTCCTGTCACTCCATGCTCTTGTCAGTAGTCCCTCTCCATCTTTCTTGCAGGTACTGGAAGGGCACAATTAGCTCACCCCAAAATGTGTAGCCATGCTCAAAACCTGTGTTCAGCTGAAACACCAGGAACTGGAGGGCTTTACCCAGATCATCTTAATTAGATACCTAGTAATTACTCCAGCTGGAGATTACAGATGTGAAATTAGAGGCACTGGCATTGTCAGAAGCTTGTGTAGGTGTAAGAATCATTCCTTGGTATGAAATCTCCTTATTTGATAAAAGTTGGTAAAACCTGCAGGCAGCTACCCAGACTTTGCCTCCGATGTCTTCAGAACATTCCAGCCAATTTACAGCAGCTCTGTGGTTATTTGCAGGCTCAGGGCCCCAGAGCTGGGGAACTCAATAAATAAGAGATGTATATAACTAAATATAGCACCTCTACTTAATCATTTTGTTCCCTTCCACCTGCTTCCAAAGAACAAAGTTTCAGGCAAAAATCCCTCCTGTCAAGTCTCATCTCTGTTCCCATATTTCTGAGGGAATTGCTGCTCCCCACTGCCCCTCCCAACAGGAGTTCACACAAGTGCAGCAAGACCTTATTATTCTGTTTATGATGGGATGGTCTGTTCCAGCACGGTGCAGTCCACAGTAAATCCATCTGCAGAATTAATGCTGGGCTGGGAGAGAGAGGCAAGGAAAAGCTGGGATGATTTACAGTTTGGAGACACAGCTGATATGAAAATAAACATTGAGTCAGTTTGTCCTATATGTCTTAGTTCCATTAGAATAATGACAGTAGGTGACATTTTTCACATTTTAATTGGTGTTTTGCTGATTTTATCAGAATTTCTGCTGATCAAAGCAAATTGGCTATTTATTTATTTTGCAGTGATGCTAACTAATCAGTGGAAGTTTAATGTACTGTAATGAATTTTAAATATCCTCCTAGTCATTACAAGTGTGTGAATCTAGACTCTCTTTCTCATAACAGCTTAAATAATTAATTACTTGAGTAGCAAAAAAAGGTAACATTTAATATAATAACATTTTCTTTGAAATATTTCAGTGCATGATTTATGGAACCATCTCAAATTAGTGAAGGATAATTCTGACCAGTGTATCACCCCTGCATGCACACACAGCTCACTTAACCTAATTCTGACTGCATTGGGTTAGGTGGATAGTAAATACCTTAATTATTAGTTTATTTCAGTAGTTTACTAAATTATATTTTTACATAATTTATAATTCAATATTTTTGTTTTAATTGGTTTCCTTTTTGTTATTTATCCACACAGATATATCATAGAGATTTTTAAAAAAAATAATGACATGTTTTATGTCATAGTATTGTTTCCTGCCAATCATGGCATGTCGTAAATTGTCCTCATAAGTAGAAAGAAAAAGGCAATTTGGGTTATTGTAAAATGACAGAATCAGTAGGAGATTTGTGCTGCTTCAAAAAATGTTTTAGTATATTATTAAACACTTGTCACACTCGTGGAAATCTTGCATCTGAATCACTAGGTCACATCCAGATTCTGTGCATAGGGAATAGAGGGGTTCTTTTAAATGTCTGTTTGGATCATTTTGAGTGTCCAAAT